AAGTCTTGGATTTCTTGAAGAAGGAATTTTCACCTTCTGTGTGCCAATTTTGTTTCCCATAATGACTAATTAGATGCATGTGGATTAGCAGAGGATTTAGATGAAGAGTGTTCAGAAAAGTAAGGGAGTTTTTATTGACTAAGGGAGAAAAATAATAAATTGCATTTATTGAATTAGATGATTCAATCCATCAAAGCTTGTTAAATGGTAGATTATATCCAAGTGGTAAAGAATAAGGGATTGGAAGGAAGATAGAATAATCTGTGTCATTTTTTTTTCTAAGTCTTAAGCATATAATGGAATAGAACTTTGAAAACAATGAAAAAATGCCTCCACATTTCATCAGGGGAAAAAAAAAAGATGCCTCAAAATTAAAGAGACTACCAACCCAACCCTGGGCTTTGGAATCCTGTGGTGGCCCATGCCATCTAGTGACAGAATGCTACAAATATTGTTCAGCAACGGAGGCTCTGGCAGAGTTCCTCTTTTTCACTACCCATTTTCTTGCCCTCCATACCCCTGTGCAATCACTAGCCAAACCACACTGTTTTATAATATTTGTGTCCACCTACAGAAAACTACTCCTCAATTATTAAGTCAAAGATGGTGGCCCTACACTCGTGACCTCAGAGGGAGTTATTTTCTGTGTCTCTGATGCCTGAATCAAGGTGTGGGAGAGATTAGGCTTAGTATCCTATCACTGTATGCAAAATGCCAAGACCACCATGAGGAGCCCAGCTTCCCTGAATTTGGAAGTGATAGAACACAGACATTCCAAACATCAGGCAACTGGAAAGAGTAATGAAGAGCTTAGAGAAGCTGGTTATGTTGAATCTGAGGACAAAGTCTCAGAGAGACCATTGCTAGCCAGTTATGCTTCCACATTCCCTCTTGCTCTTGCCACAATCTACACTCTACAGCAAACCCAAAAGGGTATTCTTGTTCCACACACATGATAATCCATCACACATCTCTTTGACTTTGAAATGGATGAACCCCATGGCTAAAATGCACTCCTTATTTCCTTCAAGACACAGAGATCGAGCATCACCTTCTCTTTGAAAGACTTTCCTAAGTGTTCCAGTGCTCCTCCAAAAAATCTACCTCACATTTATTTTGTAAAACTCTGCATATGCTCAATTTTGTATATTTTGCCTCCTCCCAATAGAATGTAAGATCCTGAAGGGTAGAGATTGTCCATAGTTTGAGGATAGGCCAGGGAAGGAGATCATGGCACAAGTGTGGGTTAGTCTCACAAAATGAATAAACCATAATTTAAAAAAACTAGCAAGATGAGTTGTAGAAATAACCCACTGCCATCTACCTCCATCTAATCATCTTATAGACTCTAGAGCAGGAAAGAACCTTAGTCATTATCAAGGATGCTAAAGGTAACTGGAATCTTCTAGGAAAAGAGATGAATAAACTCTATATATCATGGAAACCAAGTCTGACTGAACCACCAACATCTGAATTTCCCTTTGGTCCCGAGAAGGGGACAGAATCAGAATTCAAACTCCCCACCAAAGATGCAAAATGGAAGCAGCCCCCTCTAAAAGAATTGAGCATGTGGGCAAGCTAATACCATTCAAAGAAAAGACATATCTCCCAGCTAATGTCCTTTTGGGTTTGAAAGGGCAAGATTCCTCCTGGGCTGGATAAGTGGCACCTTTTTCTCCCTTGCAAACTTGTAGAATAGATCTGTCAGCCAGAATGAGAAGGGATGTCTCTAGGCCACACGGCACTTTCAAAATTCCTTCCCCAGCAGCTGGAAGAAACAGATTGTTCCCTCAAAAATAGTCCCTGCAGCTGCAGTGTTTGGGATAACACTAAAATGTATGTGGGCCAGCAATCTCCAAGGCAGTCCATTTGAACAAAACTTAGGGTATTTAGACAGTATGCAATAGATACCTCCAATCTATGCTTGCTGGGAAAATCATGTTCTCAGATAGGAATGAGGAAAAATATAGGTCTCTGTAGGATTCCCATCAGAGCTCCCTGGTACATCCATTTTATAAACTGTATCAGATCTCTATCAGATCTGCATCCCAACTCCCTAACCAGGACCATTTCTCTCTTTGCATTAACCGACAACTAAAATGAAGGGGGGAAATCACAAATATCCCTCTTAAGTATGAAAAACACAGTCATAAACTAACTCAAGTTTAAATGAATAGCTGTCAAATTCAGCCCATATTTCAAGCTTTCGGCATCTGGATATCAGGCATTCCTCTATCAAAGGCGCCTCTGAGCAATGATTGATTATGTCCGTCTTAAATGTGAAAAGATCTAGAAGGACTCTGTAAAATCTGCCCTCTACTGCAGTCAAGAACCCCAGGATGTTCAAGTTTAATAAAGAAGAACTGGGGATTTGGAATCTCAAGTCTTCCACGCATTCTGCCATCCTTTCTTATCATTTATGGCACGTGCATATATATGCACACAAATATATATATATATATTTATATATACATATGCTTATATGTACTATATACATATACATACATACATGCATGTAAATAAATAAATATGTGCTTCTGCTACATTGAGGCTGTGAGAGGGAAAGAAATTCATTCTAATCCTACATTCTAGCATATTGTTGAAACTTAATCTTTTAATAAAAACAGTCACCATGGCAACACAGTAATTACGATGTATCTTTAAAAACTTCAACAAGTTTACTGTGTTTTTATTGAGTGGGAGGGGGAAGGGGATGATTTTTTTTAATGTGCCTGGGAAAACAAATACGAATTTCCTCATCTCAGGGATTTTTTTTTTTATGGTATCACATGGCATTTGCCAACTTTGTTTTCATTAAAGGCGAGCTCTGGGTTGCAATTGAGTAGAAGAATGTCAGTAAAATATCAATGAAAAAGTGATCAGAACATGGTCTTCACTGACATTTTGTAAAACAGGTGAAGTATATTGTGTTTATGCATATATATGAGATATGCATATATATATACATACATACATGCATGCATAATACACACATTTTAAAATCTATCCTAGCAAAGAACTGAAAATTATTTTCTGTAATATACCTTCATTCAAAATTTTAATTACATATGTATATATATATACACATTTCATGATAAATTTATGGTTCTCAACACAACAAATATATATTTCTTTACATGATACTGTTTATTCATCCTTACTTCCCAATGATTTTCCTTCTATTCTTTTTTTCTTTCCTTCTCATTCTTCCTTTCCTTCTCTTCTTTTCCTTTATTTTTTCTTTCTTTTTTCCTTCCTTCCTTCTTTTATCTCCTCTCCTTTATCTTACTTCCTTTCTCTTTCATTCTTTCTTGCCTCATATATTTCTTGCTTGATTTCTTTCTTAATTTGCCTTCTTCTTTGTTTTTCTTTCCCTCTTTCTCTCATTTTTCCTTCCTTATCCTTCATTGATCCATTTCCTTCTCTCCTTTTTAATTTTCTGTTTTCTTTATTCTTACTATTTTTTTTGTTTCTCCTTTTTATTTTCTTTTAAAAATTCTCACACTTTTTCTTTTTCTCTCTTATTTTTCTTCATTTCCCCCTCTTTATTCATTTTTTCTATTTTTTCTTCCTTTTATTCTTTCATTTTTCATACTTTGCACTTTTTTTCTTTTATTCTTATCTTTCTTTTTCCTTTCTTTCTCCCTTTCATTATATACACATATTATATATATATATTTTTCTTTATGGCTTTTCCATTCTTTCTTCTTCTTTCTCTTTATTTTCTTTTCATTCTTCTTTTCTCTTTTTATCTATTTTCTCTTTTTTCTTTTCTCCTTTATTTCATTTTTCTTATCCTTCTTCTTTCTTTTCTTTTCTCTTATTTTTCTTTTCTTTCTTTTTTTCTCTCTCCATCTCACCTTTTCTTCCTCTTTCTTTTCCTCTTTTCTTTACTCCTCTCTATTTTTCTCCTTTCACTTCAACTTTTCTCTCTTTCTGTCTCTCTTTCTCCTTCTCTTCCCCTTCCTATCTCCATTCATTCTCTCTTTCAATTTCTGTTGTGTTTGCGTAACTGAACCAAAGTGCTAGATGGTAAGGCCATGACTTCCCAATAAGATTTAATTATGAGTGCAGATATGAACAAGATTTAGACTATTAAGGCTTGCACTTCAAAAAAAACCCTTTAACATATTTTGTCTTTAAATCTTTTATCACCTGCAAAAATTAATTAAGTGCAGATGCCCCGGGTTAGGGTTTGATGCCAGGGTTCATTTCCTGTCTATGCTTTGTCAGACAACCTATTACACCTCTCTGCTGAACTGTCGGCCCAGCCAGCATGGGTCTCATAAATCACCCTCCCACTCTCCTTGGGCCCGTGCACCGAGCTGGTCCTTTTTGGGGGAGGCAAAGCTCCAATCCCTTATTCATGCACACACTATGGACAACATGCCAAATGTCACCCGCATTTAAACAAACCATTTGTTAAGCAAATTATAACTCCATTGTGCAAGAATGCAGCCTAGTAGAGCGGAGGCCCAGGCCAGTGCTGCTGACTTTTAATCGTCCTGCTTTCCTGCAGGGAGACATCCCACCCTGGCATCCAAGCCTGGAGAATGACAAGCGGGTTTGTTTGAATGGTCCCAGCGCTACACAGCAAGCCAAGGGATCTGAGGCAGGGGAAGTAGCCAATTTGGTAACCACAGCAACAGAATTCTTTCCAGCCCATCGGACTCGTTAGGGCCCCTATTCTACGGGGGAAAGTAAACTCAGGTTCTGTTGGGTTATTTTAACACTGGAAGTATCAATTCATTTAAGGACCATAAAAAGGCTGCCCCGAGCTGTGGCTTCTTCTCATTAAATCTCTGTTAATGCTGTGAGAGTGAAAGCTTCATGTTTATGGTTTCAGAATGTCCAGGCCGGATTTAATGAGTTTCCACGTTGGTTTGGAAGTCCACACACTCCTGGATTATTTAGAAGCCAAGACAGCTGGACATGGGGAAACAGACTTACTCTCTCTCACCTATGGGAACAAGAAGACAGAGTTTGCCCAGGATACCTACCAGGTCTACAATCAATATCTTGCCTACATTGAGCTGCTCTCGCAAGTATTTGGCGGTAATTGCCACCGAATTAAAAAAGCAGAACCCCCTGCAGAATAAAGAAGAACAGAGAAATCAGAAAGCAAATCAGCCAGGAAAAAAACCATTATAAATAACATTCAGGGCATTTCTCAAAATGCTATATGATCTCCAAAGCCATAAATCTGCTTCTGGGAGGACCTCGCGAGCCTCTGCAGGCATCTGCTAACAATTAGAGGGTTTCGGAGACGTGCATGGTGCAGGTGACTGCCAGTAACCCCAGTGCTCCAGGATGGCCAGTCTTCCCTGGTACTTACATGGCTGTTGATTCTTCAGCATGATGGCCTGGGGGCCTTACAACAGCAAACCCATTCTGTAAGAACAAGACAGGTTTTCAATTATCAGATAGGGAAAGAAAAAAAAAAAAGAATCCTTGTCTCTTCATGTAATATAGAGCAGCCGGCAAACAGGATTGGAACCTATTAGAGGCTTCTGAGTTTGTTTTCTGCCCCCATTAGCCTTTCAGAGAATTAGCAGAAACAAAATATCTGATTAAAGCTGCATATATCATGTCTCAAAGAGAAGGCCCAATTGGAGCCTGGAAGAAACTAGAGGATTTTAGGGGTTTGAACCCAGATGGTCACTAGGCACCCTAGTCACTGAACTAACAATACCCACTTAGGAAAAAGACTTCATATCTCATTACATCCAGGTCCTGAATTCTTCTTAGGGGATTGGAAGAGAAGAAATCCATTCTTGGTGGAAGATGGAGTCCCGGAAGCATTGAGCCACACTGAAAAACGCTGAAGCTCAGACACCCTCATCAGATCTCCACACAATGAAAATTTAATTTCTAGCCCCGGTGTCAAGCAAAATGATAAATCTGTGTATGTGTGCACACACACACACACACACACACACACACACAAGCACAAGATTATCCTGAAGGGGATAAAAAAAAAAAGGACAATGGGAAGGCCATATTTTTTCCAGTCTATAAATTTAGCTTGGAAGTCAGCCAAAGCTTGCAAGTTTATTGGATTCTCTAAGTCAATTTCTAACTCATGTTCTGGAATTTTATAAAGAATTCCTGTGCAGAACAGCAATCAGATCTAGCCATGATCAAGGAATTCCTGAACCTCCAGGTTGGTTGTAATGTATCATAGAAAAATGAAGTAACTCCTTAGCAAACCCAGGATCTATAAATCCTTGTAAAACCGTGATGTGGAGAATGGAGGGTCCATTGACTTGAAATAATCATTTCTCAAGAGGTTCTCACTACCTTTCACTTAACTATGACTTGAGAACCAAGTTAATAATAAAAAGTATATCATTCCTTTCTTTTTATGGGGGGTGGGGGTGGGTAGATAGGTGAGCTGTCCCCGACCTGTGATTTCATGAGTGTATAGTACTCCCAGGGGAAACTTCCTCCAAGAAAATAACTTGACAACTCATCTGCAGCTTGTAGTCTTCAGAATCCTTGGGTCATTAGGAGGTTAAGTACTTTCGCTTTGCTCCATAGCATAGATTGTATCAGAAGTAGGACTTGAACCCAGGTCTTCCTAATTCTGAGGCTTAAAATCTATAGTAATGGGGTCTTAATCTAGGGTCAGTGTCCTTCATTTTGTTTTGATTTATACTATTTTGATATCTTCAGTATCATTGGCTTTCCTTGTATTTTCATGTATTTTATTTTTAACATTTAAAAACATAATTATGAGAAAGGGTTCTGTAAGTTTCATCAGACTGCCAAAGGGATCAGTGACACAAAAATGATGACACACCCCTGATCCAGCTGCTGCATCCGGCTGCCTTTTCTGCTAACTACACAACAATCTAAGTCAAGCAAACGAGCCATCCTAACTGGGGAGTTTATTTCCAAGTCTTTCATATTAAATGTGGAGAATATATATATGTATATATGTATATATATATACACACATATATATATATATAAAATTAGTCCTTTGCCAAGATGTTTAAAATAGATTCTTTTAATCAATCACATCACATTAACTAGCATATAATTTAATTATCGCTTCATTTGGATGCTAATATCCATAACAACGTTTTCCTAGGCTTGATAGAAATCAGGCAGTTTATCAGTTCTGATAAGCCCTTGATCTTTAAGTACTCCCTATGCTAGGTCCAGCACAGCATTGACTACCACTGATCATTTGAGAGCTATATGACTACATGGTCCCTGGCATCAAAGTTGCTCAGGTGACAATAATAACACCCACAAAGCAACAAGTACAGGTATAATGAAGTGATGACTTTGTGAAATGGTCTAGGAACGGCAAAGCAGCCCAAAAAGGAAGATCAAGGTGGACTGGAGTCCTCAGGAAGGCTTCACATGGCATGTGACACCCAAGGCAGTTATGAAAGAAGGGTAGGGTTTCAACAATGAAAAAGGAAGGGAAAGGTGAATTAACATCAACAAAGGCTAAAAGGCAGGAAATCAAACAGCGTATTGTGAAATATTAAACTTTACAGGATTGAGCAGTGGAAAATAAGGTTACAGGGTGGTGGAAAATAAGGGCAGGTAGGGAGGGTGGGTCCACACTATAACGACCCCTGGAAGCTGGGCAGAAAAATTCCTTGTCTACTTCTTTCAGCTGCCAAATTTGTCCAACAACGAGCTCCCTTCACCTATGCTTCTACCTCCTCTGTTTCTATTCCCCAAAAAAGTCTGTGTAATCTTAATTCCCCTTTCAATCTGTTACCAAAACCACTCTCTGCACTGACTTCTTTGTCTAAAAGCAGTTGCTTTTACTCATTAACCCCAATTCTGCCTCTCTGATGCATTACATACCCTCATTACTTAAAAAGAAAAATTATTGGTGACATTTCTTTTTTATATGATGGCCATTTATAGATATGCTCCTCCTTAGGCATCTTCTCTATGCTAAGAAACAAAAACAGTTATGTACAAACAACCAATAAAATAGCATTTTCTGATGGGCTATGCAACATTCTGCCCTTTGCTGAGAGGATGTTTCATTATCTGTTCTCTGAAAAATGGTAACTGTTTCTTTAGTAGCTCAGAGTTTAGCTTATTTTAGTGTTGCTTTTGTTCATACTGTCGTAGCTAGGTGGCACTAGAGTGCATAGAAAAGATCTGAGTTCAAATTTGACCTCAAACACCAGCTGTGTGATTCTGGGCAAGTTGCTTAACCTGTTTGCCTCAATTTCCTCATCTGTAAAATGAGGATATTAATAGCACCTATTTCCCAGGGTTGTTGTGAGGATCAAATGAGTTAATAATTCCAAAGTCTTAGCACAGTGCCTGACACATAGTAAGTACTATATAAATGTTATATCATTATACCTATTGTGGATTGTTGTCCTGCTTCTGCTTATTTCATTATGCATCAGTTCTTATGAATCTTCTTATTTCTCTCAGTCCACCCTCTGTATAATTTCCACAAAGCAATGTTACCCTGAATATTTTGGCTTATATTTGGTCTTTATTTCTGTCTTTGACTTCCTTGGGATATACATGCCTGAATTTTTTTTTGTTGTTGTTTTTTACACCATGGTTATTTCTCAATATACCTTACTTCTCAATTAAACCATCCCTTCTAGTAGAACAAAAAAGACTACAGTAACCACATTTGATTATGTATACAACCATTCTACCCCTGTATTAGTGAGATCACAGGATCAAAGAGTATGAATAGCATATTCTAAAAAATGAACATTTTTCTCACACAATTCCTCACCTTTTACTTGTCAAAATTGCTCTCTTATACTGGCTTTCTATACCTAGGGTAGTTCTTTTGTCATTAAATATTCCATTGCTTTATCCTTTCCTAGAATTTCCTCTTCCTCTAAATTGAACTAATTCGCTTGGTTCCCCAAGATGACTTCAACAACCCTGCCATTTCCTATGGACTCAATTCCTTGGTCCTTAAAGATGATGCAGTACTAAGAACCCCAGATCTGGCATCAGAGGAATTGGGTCAAATTTTGTCTTTGCCACCTACCACTCATGTGATCTTGGTCAAGTCACTCTCTGGACATTAGTTTCCTCTTTTGTAAAATGAGGGGAGAGAATCAGATGTTCCCTGCCAACTGTAAATCTTAGTGATAACTAATTGTCTTCAGCATATCGTGTCTATAAAATCTCTGCAGGGGGTCTTTGAGTTTACCATGAACCATCCAGAACTTCTAATCTTGGACTTTTGTCCATATCCTTTGGTTGGCTTCCAGGCAATGGATCAGAGACCTTCTTCTGTGCCTGTTGGCTTACCATGGTGGCCAATGAAACTTGATTAGCCCTCCCACTCTAGTTCATCTCCCCTTCTGTTCCTACATCTCTAGATTGATATTTTGTATGCAACTCCTTACATGAAATTCTTGGTTGGTAATATGTTGCAGCCTATTAATTCCCTCTATGAAAGCCTCCAGTGCCCTCTGGGTGACAAAAATATTCTTTGAAAACTATTATTCTATAATTTGTAGCAATTCAGAATCATCAGAAAAATACCAGTGTTAGAGATGAGAATGTAGGAATGTAGGTCAATAATTATGAAGATCATCTTGATAACCTTTTGGAAAATGGTTTTTTGTTTTTCAATCATTCAATGTCCTTCCCTTTCATTTATTTGGAGAACTGGTCTCTTAAAATATTCCCAATTATTTCACATCCAGCAAAGAATTCCTTTCTATACACTTGGTCTCATCTGTCTTCTTTTTTGGTCTTCATTATATTTAGTGACTTGACATTTCTACTTTATTACACTGTTTATCAGGGACTAACACAATGCTTATGATCCTCCATATTCCTTTGTTTTTTTTAATTGCTTTATTTTTGAAATTTATATTACATTTATCTTCATTGTCTTTCCATTCATCAAAAAGATCAAAGAGGAAGATATTTGATAGCTGAAGTAGTTTCAAAGCTCTTCTGATCATTCAATTGTAGTGATTTCTTTACCTTCCTTAAACACCTATAGAAAAATGGTGATATCTTGTGTCACTGGTTGTCCCATTTTCCATTTCCTATTTTTGGTGTCAACATCTTAAGTGAGTCAGTTGTAATTACATTAAATCTTCTTTTTGTCTTTTAATTTTTAAACTTTCTCTTAATTTATTTTTTTAATCTTGGCTCTAATAAGCCAATGATATGACTACAGATGGACAGTAGATTCCAACATGACACTCACATTGCTACCTGTTCATTTCCTATTAGTTAATACATAATAAATTTCCTTCTTTTTTAATATGCTTTTTGATGCAAGTCATGTCCAATGCCCCTCAGATCCCATTCTTCACATTATTTGTGATATGGAAGTATAAATCAGTGAATAAAGCATTTAATAAATACTTACTATGAGCAAAGCACAGGAGAAACCAATAGAAAGGTAA